TTAACACCCTTTATAAGGTAATCAACCAGTTTTCTAGACTTGAGATTGATAATTTCATAAAAAAATCATCATTTGCTACTTTTAAAAAATGAGATTTTCTGTTAATTAATAATTATAATCACGCATCTTGTATTGACTATCAACATATCTTACCAATAAAAGTACGGAAAAATTAAACGATTCCTACCAATTTTACCTTAGTAAAATTTCATTCATTTTGGATCAATATTTCATGTGGAAAAGTGACCTTTTTCACCGATCAAAATCGATTTTTTCGATTTTTTTATTTTTGAAGTCACTTTTACCATGAAATATTAATCCGAAATAAATAAAAGTTTCTGACATTATGGCTAATCTAATTGGCTTTCATTTGCTCCTAATATTAATGTTTAATTAAAATTAATTTGTTAATTAGAGTGATTTAAAGTTGGTACCATTTGCATTGCTCACACACTAAATGGCTTGAAAATTTACTGCGAAAAATTTACACCGCTCACTTTGAGCGTTTACTAAATAGGACTGAGTGCAAATTTTTTAATCTGACTTAACACAAACTCTTATCCATCATTAATAATTGATTTAAAACTAAATTTATTTAATTAAACTTAGTAATTATCTAAATATTTGAGTTTAAATCTTGTGCCATTTTTTAGTTATCACCCCTTAACCTTAAAAGTTGCATGCAGCTCCAAATCATTGTTTGTTTATTTATGACGATCACTACAGTAGTTGAGAAGCGAGCTGAAACAAGTCGAAGTCTACAGTTGTATGAGTACTTCCTGGCAAATCTTGATTACACTTGATGGTAAATTTATTATTGGTTTCTTTCAACTTGGCTCCAGTAATTTTAAGTCTTCCCAAAGAAGAAAATCAGTCACCAGATTTTCGAGCAACCGTGTTCCATTGCTAATCGATTTAATAGTACGCAATTTATAATCGACAACTTTATCGATATTAATATCAATTACTATCGATTACTGCTATTTCAAAAGCTAAACCCAAAAATGTCAGTTTTGTTAAAAACTTTAACTCCTATTGAATTCAATTCACTGTTTATACTATTTATCTTCATTTCAAATTATTGTATTGCGATTCCTGGTCTTTGGATTCACTAACCAACTCAGATTAAATTCAAAATACACAAGATTCTTTTCTAATTTCAAGATAATTCAAGACGTCACATTGTGCGACTCATGCCACGTAATTTTCATTCATATCTTATGAACGTGATAACTGTTACAAAAAAACAATTGTTTTACTACGACTCTAATTTTTGAACGTTGAACGTCCAGGCCTAATATAATGTCTATCTCTTCTGAACAGAGATCTAGACTTTAAGAACTTCTACTTTCAAGTAATTGATCATTTGTATTTTATAAACCAATGCTCATCGATTGACCTAAAAAAGGAAGTAAACGTAAGAGTGTTGATTTGCTTTCTCTAATCGTAACATGTTTATTCGATATTAATCCATGAATCTGAAATGTGATAAATCTGATCAAGATTACAAACAATTAACAGACAAGGCTGATGAAATGAGCAAAAGTAATAAACAAGATGAGAGGGAGAAAATAAGTAAATATATTTGATGGTGATAATGCATCCCATGAAGGGTATAAAAGATGAATATTTATTCCATAACAGCAAGACATTACAAGTGTAATCCATTCAAATTTGCTTTTTCATCTTTATTCATTTAGTTTGACCAAAATTGAGAATAATCATGACTCCAGTTGATTCTTATGGTAATACAAATTGCAAAAATTGTGTCAATTGTACAGACTGTGCAGACTGTCAAGATTGTGAAAATTGTGCTAATTGTACTGGTTCTAAAAACTGTACGAACTGTGTAAATTGTTCAAATTGTGATGATTGTGCGAACTGTTCAGGTTCTAAAAATTGTTCACATTGTGATAATTGTACCCGATGTAACGATTGTGAAAAATGTAACACTCGTAAAGATTGTGCACATCGTACAAGTTTGACTGATTGTCAATGTTGAGTTCTGATATCGATACAAAGGCGTGTTTGAATAGCAGCGAAAAATTTCTGGTGCGACCGGAGAAATGAGAACTTTTCTTGTTATCTTCCAGATATGAAACTGCCGGTTCAAGAAGTGTCCAAGAAGAGCAAGTTAAAAAGCTTGACGTATCGGCCAATTTTATGTTCATCAATGTCTTGAAATCATCTTACTCTACTTGTATCAACTCTGTATCGTCAATGTAAATCAACCATCTCTTCCGAGAAACCGAGTTTTTTAGATTTTACTTTGATTTTTTTCAGCCAAATCTTCATTTTTAAAACACTTGTTAAATAAGGATAATATGAATATTAAATGTTAATTATGTATTGTAATTATCCTGCCAAAATAAAACGATTCCTATTTACCTCACAGCCAACTGTTTCCATTGTTTTAATCTTATTCACCTCCTTTTCAAGATATTTATCTGTCGAGTCGTAGAGTCTGTTGATAATGATCTCTGATCTTTGACCTTTTCCATCAAGCTATTTACAAGGTATTTGAAGAGATTTTCTGATTTTCGAAGAAATGGAATGTTGGACAATAATAACTGGGCAAGTGTAATAGTAAGAGAAATTAGTAATTGCATTGACAAAGGTGACAAATTTTCTTAGTTTTTATGAGCCTTCTGTTTTCTTCTGAATGAAAAAGACGAACGTGAAAAAGTACATTCCAAAAATAAGAAACTTCTTCTCGCTTCAGGAGGCCAGAACGTAGGAGTAGAAAATCATTTCCAAAAAGTTGGGAATTTATTATTAGTCTGAGCGAAGCAAACACCATGATTCTACAAAAAAATCTAATCTTTCGACGATTGCGGCCAACCCATAAAACCGATTTCAACGAAATTTGGTACAAAAATATAACATAAGATATGACCGATAAAGTTCATTACCAAATAAATCTCGCTTTGTAAAGGGTGTATTGTTTAAGAGTGAAATTATGTGAGCAAAAGAGTAACATTTACTTACCTGATTGTGGTGATTATGACGATAAATATGTTGATAAGATGAAGATAAAAGTGAAAATGGACAATGATGAAAAATGCATCATATTTATCAACATCTTTATCATCATAATCACCACAATCAGGTGAATAAATTTTTCTCTTTTTGCTCCCAAAATTTCACTCTTAAACAATACACCCTTTATTTCAAACAATGTGTTTTTAACAGTAACAATTTATTTGTTATAATCATTATGATGGTCGAAAATCAAAATAATATGTCTAGCCATCGGACAGTGCCCGGAAACAGATTGGTGACAAACGTTGTAGGTCATACTTTATGAGTACGCATTGCAGAACGCAGTAATGAAAATTTTATTCGAAGGATGGAATATAAGTGTAAAGGATTTTGACTATTTTTTTGCTGATATTCGCTAATAAAAACCTAAGAATGATTAAAATTCTTTTGTCTAATTATTTCAGGCTTAAAAACCGAGCGAAGCTAAAATTTTCGGACATTCGTCAAATTGCAGCTCATGTGTTTGCTTTCAAATAAAGTTCATCTGTTTATCCGAAAAAATTGTTCGGAAAAAAAGGAAAGTAAACCTAATGTTAATTTGCTTTTCTCTGATCATAACATGTTTACGCGATATTATTTCCTGAATCCGATAGTAAATCTGATCAAGACTCAAGATTCGCAGACAAGGCAGAAGAAATGGGGAATAAACAAGATGAGAGGAAGAAAATAAGGAGAAATATTTGATGATGATGAAGTGTATAAAAGTGATCCCATAACAAAAATACTTTATAAGTGTAATTGCGCTTAGTATATTTCAGTATATCACAGTCCGATTTTTTTTCTCCAAAATGTATGTTAAGCCTATTCTTTGGTTATATAATCGGTCTTTATGGTCAGCCTAATTGCGCCTTCTGCTGGTTCTGATGGCAATACAAACTGTGTAAATTGTCATGATTGTGCAAATTGTACAAATAGTACTGATTGTCAACGATGTGCCGATGGTGAAAATTGTGTAAGATGTTCAGATTGTGCCGATCGTACAGATTGTAGAAATGTTGTTTCAATTGTGCAAATCGAACATGTCTAACGAATTGTCAATGTTGAATTCTGGTGTCGGGGCAAAGTTTTGTGATTGAAGATCAGTAATAAGTTACAACAACAGTAGCAACAACCAGAGAAAGCGCTTCTTCTTGGCTACCAGATATGGGATTGCCGGTGCAATAAATGTCCAGGTTCAAGTTAAAATTTTGACGGTTTGACCAATGGTGTGTTCATCAATGAGTCCTAATCCTTTGAACCTCTCGATGGATCATCCAATATTGACTCTTTGGTATCTATTGGCTCCATATTTCACACTTACCGTATGAATTGACCGGTGATGGATGATTACAAGCAACAAGCATACAAATAATGCGGGGAAAAAACAAAAACAACATTGGATAATTCAATCATTTTTAAAACAAGATATCATAAATGCTCTAGATAGCAATAATGCTCCTAAAGCGGATAAATGGTCTTTTAAGGCCACTTTTCTCGTTTTCCATTGAGAATAAACTCGCCTATTGAATTTCGAATGATCTTCGACTTTATCCAAAGCAGCTATTCCCTTCAAATCTAGTTATTACCGATTATCATAGGTATAGCAAATATTATGTGTTCATTCATCAATTTCTTTACCTATAATAATTAATCAAAATTAGAGATCGAATCATGAATCAAATTCTTTCGAAACCAAATTTCATAAGAACTTATCGATTTTAGGAAAGAATGCAAAACCGATTGCTTAGACCGATTCGTTGTTTCTAGATATCTTGATATCTTGGATACTTTGTGATACGTGTATAAATGCATATAAAAAGAGGTTAATCAATGGTTTTTAATACTTTATTTTCATTTCCAACTTTTGATTCAGTTCAGTTCAACTCCAACCAACGAAATGCGATTCTTAATAATCGTGTCTCTCGCTTTATGCATTGGTAAGTTAATACATTTGTATAACCTAATAAACCTAATCCTCAACTCTAATTGAACAAAAATTATTATCCAATTTGTCAGGTTTTGCTTATGCAGCCAGCGTTAACCGATCAAAGCGTGATATCAAAGATGATATGGAAAGTAAGTCCAATTTTTATTAAAATATTGATGAAGAGGCAACCTTTCAGATACTAACAATTCTGGTTTACTACAGGAATCATCAAAGATATAAAAAAGAAAGGTATTGACCATGTTGGTGACGACATCAAAAAATTTGCTCATACCTTCAAGGGTAAGTAATAACAATTAGTTATCATAAAAGGTGTTTACTAACTTTTTAATTACTCAACAGATCAACTAAAGTCATGGCATTGTCCAAACATCTTTGATATACTTAATGCATTGGCTAGTAAAAAAAAATCTAAAATTGCTAAAGTCTTGTTCGAAGCTGCTGTTTGTAAAGCACTGCATTTGTAACTAAAGACTAATATATTATTCAAAATATATTTCAATTCTTGTACGACCCATTTGAAATGTTTATCCTTAAAATTCCATGAATAAAATCTTTATAATTGAATAAACAACTGACTCACGATCATAAATGATCCAAATTATTTTAACTGACAAGTTGATAGTAAAATAAATCAACATTTAAAGGACTCGAACCGATGTAAACCGTTAAAATGACAAAAGATTTAAATTTAAATAAAATGAAATTGAAGTTTGAAAGCGATTTCATCAAAAATCATTGAAAATTTTTTTATTACACAAACAGACCGTTCCTATTTCCCTTAAAAGTGTATCAGCATAGCTCGACTTTTTAATTCTCGAATTTTTGATGAAAAAGCCATCGTCAGAATAAGAAATCCAAAAAGTCCAAGCTTTTGTGAAATCGATAAGATTCATTTTGCGATGAAAAACGTTTCCCTGAGCAACATTGAAATTCTCTTTCGAGTTAGGTAGTATCGAAATTAGTCGATCTATTGTGTGGATTAAGATTTAATATGAAATGTATGTTGATGCCATCTATTAGTTCGATTTATTAATTCTGTTCATTATTTTAGCGCTGATGGATCAGATGTTGTACATAGCTATTGATTTGTTATTGAATGGTTTAAATTGCAATCAAGATTTTTATTTGCAAAGAATCGTTGTATGATAATTCATCTTTCACTGAAACTTTTCCATCATCGTTAATTCCTTCTAATCATCTATTTTTTTTATTCATTAATATCTGATTTAAAAGCAATAATTTGTGCTGTTCCCTTCTCATTAAGTTTCATTGAACTCAGCCATTCTTGACTCATTCTCTGCTTTGAAGTGTCTTGAGACTCTGTAAAAAATTTAACAAATAACTTTGATAACGAATTATAAGCCAAGTATAAGTCAATATAAATCGATATATTAGGGGTTTTCATAATGTTTTTAACTAGACCAGATGGAATGTATTCTGAATCGTGCAAACTGGTTCACTCGATGAGCAATGTCTCTTAGGTAAGTTCTGCCCAATTTCAGGCAATTGTGCCCATGTTTAGGTTTTCTACACAATCGAAAACCGAAATTAAATCAATTTAAATTCACTGATTCATCAAACTCTTCATTTCAAATGGATAAAAAAGACCTGAAAACCAATAGCAACTCCTCGATTTTTGTCATGATAATAGCCTCATGTGTAGTTTCATGAAATATTATGTTAAAAAATTTCAAAAATGCATGGGCCCTATTTAGGCCCCTTTATTATCCAAAGGCCTTTTCATGTTGATTATCCTCGAAGAAGCTCTATATCATCCAAATAATTGAACATAACATGAATTTTTTCGTGGTTAAGATAACATTAGAAGTCGATCTATTAGTCGCATTTACAAAAAAAATTTCCCGAAAGATCTTCAATAAGAAAAACGGGTTAAAAGTTAGTTGTTTCAAGTTTCAAAAACATGCATGAAGTGCAATGAGTTCCCTTTTTGATAAAAACATTATTTTAGTCAAAATAACGGATAATTGTTTTTTCTGATGTATATTATGATATCAGTAGAAACTCAGGAACATGTTCTCACAAAAAATTTCAAAAATAAATCCATTCTGAATGTAAGAATCTCGAAAAATGCAGCGAATGTGCCAAAAATGGGCAAAAAGTTCGAAACTGGCACAATTCTGTCGAACTCAAGAAATTTCATGAAACTACGATTGATACTGTCCCTTCACTGCTCAAAGATTAAAATGGACTGTTCAGAATGTTTCTCAGACTTATTTTTCATGACTAGTTAAAAACATTATGAAAACCCCTAATACAATTGACTTTCTTGCGAAAACCGACAACTATCCGACGCCTGATCCTCTTTTAATCCTAATAATCCAAATCCTATTTCAAAAATTTACTTAATTAGCCTAAAAATCGGCAAAATCAAAAAAAATCTAGTGTTGTTATACTTATGACGCGCAGTGTACTTGAACTGGTCATGTAAAGGTCTGCATGGGCATCTATCAAAATTGTACTGTTCGATAGCTTTCGCAGATCATGCAACATAATTTTGGTTCATACCTGATTAACGTGATACCTGTTTACACAAACTGAAAGACAATGGCCTGTTTTAAGCTATCGAGATTAAATCATTTATTTAGATCCAATAATAATCAAAAGGATTCAATTTAATCAGAAAAATCAGAGTTTGTTTGAACAAAAAAATGTTTCAAGGATGAAGATCAGAAGAATAAAGTAAATTGCTTATCAATTTTTCTGTTGTTAACATGTTGGATGCAAAATTTCATGTTAAATTCATCAATCTAATCCATTTTTCGGAATATTGTTTGCTTCTCGAGATAAGCGTATCTGTGAGAATGTATCTGGAAATAGATTGAAATGCATGGGGTCGTGTGTATCGATTCAATGATTAAAACTATCATGACAAAGTAAATTTAAGGTGACATTGAAGTTTGAAAATCTGATACAATGATCTATTTTCATCTGCCACTCCTCAGAAACTGGCCTATTTTCGATAAAGAATCACGAAAATGATAAACTTCATTGTTGCTCTAAAACATTGTGACGCACACAATTTCATCTTTGTTACTATGGAACAATATAATCAATATTATACATGATTATTCATAAAAGAACATTTCTCTACCAATTGTTAGGTCAAAAGGTTGTTTGAAAACCCAACTAAATCACAAACACATAATAACTGAATGATAAGTCAACCGAACTTGTCAGTCACTCATTTTGGGGTAACTTAACAAAGCTATCAAACTAAAATTACACTCAAGCCAAAAAGATGACTGAATCAGTTTTTAACATTAAAAAATTGATGATTTTCGTTGATTGAATGTGATCATCTATTTGCATGGAAAATTGTCTAACAAGTTGTAAAAAGTAAATGTGATCATGTTAATTTGCCTTTCTCTGGTAATAATTTGATTGTTTGATATTTATTAATGAATCTGATAGTAAATCTGATCAAGATTATATCGAATTTACAGAAAAGGCTGAAAATAAGCATGAATAAACAGAGTGAGAGGGAGAAGAGTGAACATATTCAATTTAAATGAAGAGTATTAAAGCTATTCCATAACAACAACCCTTTACGAGTTTAATTTCAAATCTGTTTGCTACATAATTCTCATTACATTACATTTCCATTTCAATTTTCCTCTAAAATGTATCTCAAAAGCCATATTTTTATTCTGGTTTCGGTCTTTATGGTCAGCTTAATCACACCTTCTACTGGTTCTGATGGTTCTGATGGTAATCAAAATTGTATCAACTGTGTAGGTTGTACAAACTGTGCGAACTGTATAAACTGTACAAATTGCCATGGTTGTCAAAATTGTGCCGATTGTACGAATGGTACAAGTCTACAAAATTGTAAAAACAGTACAGACTGTAATCGATGTGCCAATTGTATTTATTGTTTATATTGTACAGACTGTGTAGGTTGTACAAATTGTAGGAATTGTTCGAATAGTTCAAATTGTACCGATTCTACCGATGGTTCATATTTACAAAACTGTAAAAACTGTAAAGATTGTAAAAGATGTTCCAATTGTGCAAACTGTCTGAGATGTAAAGATTGTTCCAACTGTACAGATTGTGTATACAGTTCAGACTGTCAAAATTGTATCGACTGTACGAATTGTTCGTATTTACAAAATTGTAAAACTTGTACAGATTGTAAAAGATGTAACAATTGTCAAGATTGTCTTAGATGTTCAGGTTGTAACAATTGTAAAAATTGCGTAGACTCTGCAAATTGTAACGATCGTACAGATTGTAAAAATTGTCACTGTTGATCTCGGTACCAATACAAAATTGTCAGGTCCTAAAAAGGTTTGTAATTTGAAAGCAGCGGAAAGTTCCTGGTACGACGTGAGGAATGACAACTTTTTTCATCTTCCAGATAAGGAATTGCCTGTCCGAAAAATGTCCAAGGCAAGGAAGTTAAAAAGCTTATCTTATTCACCATGTGCTTCGACATTTCCTAGTCCTTTGACACTCTGGAGTGATCATCCAATTTCACCTTGATTAGTTCCTATCCAAATCTACATTTTAAAACTTTCACTTTTTGTTTGTCTTCTTAAAATCTTGTACAATGTCTATAATCGAGTATAATGGTTCTCACTCAATATATTGTTATCTGATCAATATCAAAAAATAAAATGATTCATATTTTTACTACATAACCGGCTGTTTTTATTTGCTTAAATTGGACTTTTTAAGGACAACGAATCTGATTATCTGTTTAGTCTTTTAATACCGATCTTTGTACCTTTCCCACCATAACAAGGTATTTCAAGATGATTTTTGGAAAATAAAGGTACACAACAACTACTGGGTAAGAGTAATAAATTAGGCAAGAGAGATCAGTAATTGCAGTGACAGATTTTGCCCTGAGTCGGGTAGAGATGGCATGGTAACCTGTGGGGAAAAAGTTTGAGACTTTTTGGTTTTTTTCTTGTATCTCGTAAGATAATGGTTGAATTTTTCTGAAAATTCAACATGTTAGAGTTGGATAGTGTAGCTTTGATAATTGAGAAATTAGAATGAAAAAAACAAAGGTCACTCCACAATCATCGCTCAAACTAGGAGGTGAAAATTTTTTTATTTTCGATTAATGTTAAACTCTCATAGACAGAAAATGACTAAGTCAACTTTTTTGAAGCTAAAATTCCATTCAAAATTGAATATCTTTCAAACGACTAATCTGAATTTTTTCGACCGTACTTTAACTGAAAGGTCTTCAAGAGTTGCATCGATTGGTCTATTTTTTAGCTTCATAAAATGTTGTTCATGAGGTTATTCACGAAACCAATTTCATTTAAAAAAAATTTTCTCCTCCTAGTTTGAGCGATGATTGTGAAGTGACCTTTGTTTTTTTTCATTCTGGATTTCTCAATTATCAAAGCTACACTATCCAACTCTAACATTTTCAGAAAAATTCAACCATTATCTTACGAGATACAAGAAAAAAACCAAAAAGTCTCAAACTTTTTCCCCACAGGTTAAATAAGGTAACTAGAGCCAAATATTAGGAGCCATTTCTCTGATAAGAATTAATTTCGACAGTTTTTAATAACTAAACTTGCT